AGTAGGTTTGACTGTCTCTTTTTAAAAAAAAATCTTTCTGCTTTACTCTGCACTTGTCTGAAAACTTGTAATATGGGGTATGTAGGGTAGTGGGAAAAGTTGGCTTAATATTGCCCTTGGATGATCCCGGAGTGGGGAAAGTTCTTGCTCCTTCAGAGTTATGTATGCTTCTCTTCCTAGTCACTGCAGGGCTCTTCTTACCCTGTCTGCCTGGTTGTTACTGGTCTCTTTCTTGTAAAAGAGGGCACTGTGATTTAAGTTTCCTGTCATAAGCTCTCTCCCTCCCAAACACTGTTCTATTTGGGTAAGGTAATTAAATATTGTTCTAGCAATATAGAGCAAGCAAACTGTAAGGCTAAGTGAATGGGGCTGGGAGTTCTGTTATATTGCTATGGGGTACATGACGCTTCACAGACAACAAAGCTGTGGGCTTTGACCTGAGGAGTTGACAGTTTAGGGCCTGATCCTGCAAGTCATTGTATGCCAGCGAGCTCCCACTGACTTTGATGCGGGGCTTTTCGCTCCTGCTCTTTCCAATACCTGAATGTAAACTGGGTGATGATTCACATCCTCTCTTCATGAAACCTCCTCCCGTGCCAGTGTTTGGAGCCAGGTAACAACTGCCCTGCATAGATACAAAACTGGTATTGACATCTGCAAAAATAATCCGCAGATAGCCGCATCCATGTCTGCGGATGTGAATGCCATGGATATAAAGCGGATATCTGCAAATTTGCAGGGTTCTAGATACAAAATTTGTGTCCTCATTCATACCCACAAAAATGAGCCATGCATATCCTCAGATTTGCAGGGCTCTACAGATGACTTCGGGTGCACAGAAGGAGATGATGGTGTTGGAGACCACTATAGAATGTAATGGCTTGCTCAGCTATATTGGTTCTCTACTGTCTCTGAATTTAGATCAGAGAGAGTAGAGCATGGTGCTTTACAAAGGAAAGCCTTGTCTTTGAACCCTGGTGCCTTCCTTGCATCCACAAACGAATATGGACATCTACAGTGGCTGTGTAAGTAACTTCAGATCCTTCCTGTGGGGCTTCATGAAAGCAGCTGGGGAAAGAAGCCATTGACTGCAAGCCTCAGATACATATCAATGTCAGTGAATCCTGGCCAGGAATATCCTGCAGAGACGCAATAAGCTAAGAAAGATTTTCTGATGGAGATGTCCAGGAGGTCGCTGCTGTGAGCTGATAAATGAGGCCTTTACAGACATCAGAAAGAGAATATCTAAACACTTAAAATCTCTTACCTAACTGGTTTACCCCAAATTCTGGGTGTACAGTACTTCAAACCTTCCTGCCCTTTTCTAAATATAGATTTCTGCTGGGATCATACTACAATATAAACATAAAAAATATGTACTCTGCTGCTAAATAGGTGCTGTCTAAACAGCCCTGGAAACTTGAACATGGAGCACTGCTCTGGCATCTAATCCCATACATTGCTTCAGACACCAGATGCTTCAGAGGAAGTTGAAAGGAACCCGCAGTAGGCAAATATGGAATAATCTCTCCCCTATAAAAGTCACCCCGTAAAAGTCCCATAAAAATCTCGAGACGGATTTAAGACAGGATCCCTTCCAACCTTTGAATTGAAGCAGTCCCATATTGATTCATAGGATAGATGGTGTCTCTTTGTGTTCTTCAACCATGATATGTGGAAACCACCACCATGGGTGAAGATCTGATGGAGATGTCTGTAGCCTCTAATCTTTGTTGCCAATATCAGTAGAGAGGCCAGCCAATCACTGACCAAGAAATCTGGACCTTGACAAAAACAATCGACTATCCCTGTTTTAGGCTACGCTGTGCGTTGCCATCTCCAACTATTCAAAAAAAGTCATGAGTTTGGCTTAAAAATTGTGAGAATTTTCAAAATAACAAGTTGTGAGATTTGTTTGCTGTATTTTCTGGTTTCTCAGCCTTTCACATGCACTTAAATAGTGTTTTCATGCTTTTCTCTGCAATCAGGAGGGCTAGGGTCTTTTTTTTTTTTTCATTTTTAAAATGAAAGCTGAGAGTCTTGTTTAATCACATGACTACAAAGCTGGACTTTCAGGAAACAAGCAAATATTGTGAGACTTGTGACAAAATCATGAGAGTTGACATCACTGTAACCACCTTAGTTTGTCTGTTGTGGGCCGGGTGGCAATTCTGGCCCCGTGAACTTTGAATCAAAGCCAGAGCTCTGTTGGATTCTCCTGGCCTTAGCCCAGGTTGGGAGAATGAGTTCTGCATCCCCCAGATGCTGGTAGGTAGACTTTCCCAGTAGGTACTCCCCCTTTGCCACCTGTGGCAGTGCTCTGTGACTCAAGTCTAGTGCTGGCACAGACTCCGAGAATGCTTTTTATGATTCATAGGTTTTTTCGTGAAGGCAGTGGGGGATGTTTGCTGCTGGCATGCTAAATCAGCCACTGATGTTCTAAGCTGATAGCTAAGGCTGGAGGAAACTAAAATGATAGATTGTTATGCCTGCATGGGAGGATGATGATAGCATTCACACCCTGGTCTCTAGGGGTATGTCTGCAGTATGGTTAAGAGGTGAGAGTGTAGCACATGCAGGCATACCTACACTAGCTTTGCTACCTGGGTAAATTACACAGTGTAGCCATGTCAGCATGCTGCCATGGGCTAGCTGCCAGAGTACATACCCAGGTTCCGGATGGGATTGTACTTGGATGGCCGTCTGTCAACACATGTATGTGTGCAGGTGTGATTTTTTTTTTTTAAATCTCTATAGCAACAGCTAGAGAGAGACTCTCTAAGGGTGCGTCTACACAGCACCCTAACCTCAAAATAAGATACAAAATTTGATTGAATTTTGAAATAGGCTATTTTGAAATTTGGTGTGTCTACACAGTGTCACATTTCGAAATAACACACTGTTTCGCAACATCCCTTAACCATCGTGGAACGAGGGTTACCGGGATGTAAAAATAGTGCGTCCATTATTTCGAAATAATGGGCGGCTTGTGTAGATATGGGGTAGCTATTTTGATATACCTCCAGTATCCCGAAATACCTGTGCACTGTAGGCGTACCCTAAGGGATGTCTATACTGCAGTCATAAGGAATAAGAACATAAGAATGGCCATACTGGGTCAGACCAAAGGTCCATCTAGCTCAATATCCTGTCTGCCAACAGTGGCAAATGCCAGGTGTCCCAGAGGGAGTGAATCGAACAGGTAATGATCAAGCGATCTCTCTCCTGCCATCCATCTCCATCCTCTGACAGAGGCTAGAGACACCATTCCTTACCCATACTGGCTACCGTATTTTCCGGCGTATAAGGCTACTGGGCGTATAAGACGACCCCCTAATTTTTTAGTTAAAAGATAGGGTTTCGTCTTATACCCCAGTGCCCCTCCACCTCCCCGGCTTTGCTCCCGGTGTCCCTGGTCTGCTGGAGACGGTCCCCAGGAGACCAGGGACACCGGGAGCAAAGCCTCTGAGGACGCCCCAGCAGCGGGACAGCCCCGGCGCGCCTGGGATGCCCCGCCGCCGGCTTCCCCCGAGGCTTTGCAAAGCTGCAAAGCTGTATACCCGGCGTATAAGACGACCCCCGATTTTTGGGGGATGTTTTTTAACATCAAAAGTCGTCTTATACGCCGGAAAATACGGTAATAACCATTTATAGACTTAACCTCCATGAATTTATCTAGTTCTCTTTGAAACCCTGTTATAGTCCTAACCTTCACAACCTCCACAGGCAAGGAGTTCCATAGGTTGATTATGCACTGTGTGAAGAAGAACTTCCTTTTATTTGTTTTAAACCTGCTGCCCATTAGTTTAATTTGGTGGCCCCTAGTTCTTATATTATGGAAACAAGCAAATAACTTTTCCTTATTCACTTTCTCCAAACCACTCATGATTTTATAGTCCTCTATCATATCCCCTCTTAGTCTCCTCTTTTCCAAGCTGAAAAGTCCCAGTCTCTTTAATCTCTCCTCATATGGGACCCATTCCAAATCCCTAATCATTTTAGTTGCCCTTCTCTGAATCTTTTCTAATGCCAGTATATCTTTTTTGAGACAAGAAGACCACATCTGTCCGTAGTATTCCAGGATTATTTGAAACTGCAAACCTGCCTATAGGCCGTTATGCGTTAGTATTAATCCAGATTTGGGAACTCAGCTGGACCAGAGTTATCAGTGCTGGGGAGAAAGATATCCCTGTCTACAAGAAGCGCTTGAGGGTGTCTTGAACAAGCTAACAAATACAGTAAGCTTCCGATAATCCAGCACTTTTAGGACCCGGGGGTACTGGATTATCAGATATGCCGGACTATTGGAAGGGGGGGAGAAGAGACCTCATAGCCCACCCTTCCGATAGTCCGGCTTTGCCCCAGGCGTCCCCGATTCAGCTAGTTTCAGCAGAGGCTGAATGGGGAAGCTGGGCGCAGAGCAGCTCCAATTGTCCGGCAGCCGGAGCACTTCCGGGTTCCTGATGGTGCCGGACCATCAGGAGTGCCGGAGCATTGGATGCCGGACCAATGGAGTTTTACTGTACTCAGAAGGTCTAGTGGCCAGATGAAGACCTATGAGCTTACTCTAGGCCTGGGGTTGTCATAGCACTGTAGCATGGGATAGGGATGTAAGGGAGTAATCAACTACAGTACTCAGCTACCTATAAGCCTATGCTTACTGGGTAATCGAGTCTAGTACTCGCTTCCCCACCTACCTCCACCACCCAGTTTGCTGCTTCTGTGTCATAGGAGGAGGAGGAAGTTTGTTTCTCTTAGGTACTTATGGCCTTCATCACTGTAGTATCTGAGCATATCACAGTCTTTAATGTATTTATCTTCACAACATCCCTGTGAGGTAGGGCAGTGCTCTGACCCCCTTTTATACATGGGGACCTGACCCTCAGAGAGGCTAAGTGACTTGTCCAGGGTCACGTAGAGAGGCTGTGGCAAGGCAGGAAACTAAACTCAAATCTCCTGAGAATCTTAATTATTTGTCTTCCTGATCTGTGGTTTTATAGGGGGAACCTTCTGGTGCAACTCTCAAAGTCTTAGTGTGAGCATATTGGCACTTATTGATCGAATATGCTAATGACAAAGAAGGGGGTCTCAATTATAAAAAGAAAAAAAGCAAACTGGCATCATGCTAAGGAAAAGCAGAAAAGAAAAAATCATATCCACCATGGTCTTTTCCGAAGAGGTTACAATGAAATTGGACAAAATCTTATTAGGCAAGAGATTTTATTTGCCTCTCTGGTTTCTTGGTGGGTGGATGTGTTTCTGTTGGGGCTTTTTTGTTTTTTCTGTTGCTGGCTCCTGGACAGGAAGGTTGGAGAGTCTCATATGTTTTCTGTATGGCTCTGCAGCCTGCATTCTATCATGTGAGTAAATGCTGTGTTCACTGAGCTGTAATGACTAGGCGTAACATGATGCCACTGTTGGGATGAAAACGTCTACTTGGAGTGAATGGGCTGCCTTCATAAAAGAATGAAACTCAACTCAGTGTTGTCTGTATACCTGCTTCTGCCTTCGTCTGGTCCTAATCTGAAGGCAGGGAGTATGGTGACCGCACAGAGTGCCCAGAGAAATCCAGCTGAATGACTGTGACTGAGACACAGAGACAAAACTAAGAGGCCATCCATGGATATTTCTCAGCTTCACAGCTCCCTCTCCTTGGTTGATGTGGTAAGAACGCCCCCTCCTGTCTTAATTTGCTTTAGCTATTGGCTTTGTGTGGGAGACTTGGCCTACTCTAGAGGAGGCAAAATGTATCTAAACCTCAGTTCTGGAAGTCATGGCTACGTTCTGGCTGGGATTCGTGGGCTTTCCTGGACTAGCTAGGAACTGAGAGGCAGGTGTGAATGTGATGGAACTGTCTTAGGAACTAGCAGGGGCCTGCGTAGCTTGTAGCTCTGAAACTGTGATGCAGAAGGTGTGGGGGGCAACTCTCCCATGGGTGATATCGCTAGTGACAGGGCTGCTTGCTCTTACCTTTGTTTCCTGGTGGGATGATCACCTGCCAAGGACCATCTAACCTTACCTATTGGCTTTTCACCTGTGGTGGTTGTAAGAAAATCCTGCCAAAAATGCTGGCGGCTTCCTGTCTCCTAGACACAATGACAGCTTTCAGGCCCAAGAGCAACCAATTTCTCTCCTGCTTTTCCCTTCTTAGCTAACGAGAATTCCCCAATGTCTCTAATCTACCTCTAAACTAGAATTTAAAGGTCTATCAGGATCTCCAGAGTGATCTGACTCAACTATAACATACAACTCCAGTCTCCCCCCTTCCACGTGTGGGTTAGTAGCCTTAAGCTTCAGTACTGATGTATAACAGGTTTCAGTTCTTTGCTGTGTCAGAGGAAGTATTTGGATCATCCTGTTACTTTCCATGCAAATCTGGCTGCTGATTTAAGCTGTCATGTCAAGTGATTCATTTGCATTTCTTACCCCTCCCCCCCACGTGAACCAGTGTTACACAAAGTTCAGACCTCAGCAGCTGTGTGATGACAGAGAAATGTATTCATGGTCCCTGATCCTGGTGTCTTTAGCTTGTTTGTGCTGATGTCGTAAATTGTTCATGTCAGCACAGCTTTGCGATACTCGGTTAGCTTCTTGAGCGGCTCCTTTGCAGTAATGGACAATGGTGTAGGTTCTACCTAATTAGCTGATCAGTCTGGGAATGTATGGTCCTCTTTCCCACAGTTCCCAAGTGCCTAATGGTTATTAATGGATTTTATCTCCACAGTACCCCTGTGCAACAGGGAGGTAGCTTGAATGATAAAGAGCTGAGGCACAGAGAGATTAAATGACATGCCCAAAGTCACATGAGAAATGAACCAAAATCTTCCAAATCCCAGGGTAGTGTCTGAGTCACAAGGCTATCCGTTGTCACTAACACACACACACACTTTCTCTGTGTTTGGGTGGTGAGCAGAGGAAAGGGAGAACAAAGAAATTGAATAAATGCTAATAGAATATTCAAGTGGCAGTGTTAGAAGAGCAGAAGTCCCCTGAGAGACATTAATGAGATAGAGTTGCACACTGTATGTTTTAATCCACATTTTAAAAAAGATGTGGTGTACAGCAGAATTCCTAAACATTTATTTATTTTTCCCTTTTTCTCTGGTGCTGACTGCCGCTGCTTCTGTTAAGCTGGAGTACAGTAGTGAGCGAGGGTGCTCTTAGTGCGTATGTTATGTCTATGATTATTTTAGATTTGTGCCAAAACTTACTGGTCATTTTAAGTGCCCATCTGGAGATGTCTTTAAAAAATGTGATTTTTTTCAGAGAGTGGGCATTCTACCCTTTCTGAAAATCAGTTACCAAAATTTTCAGGCACCCAATCACTAGTCCCTTATGAAAAATCCTTGCTGCTGCCCTAATTTAGGACATATTAATGGCCCATAGGGTTTAATCAGTAGTATGAATTCTACCTGGAAATCCAGTTGTGCTAAGAACAGAATTTAAAAATCCATAAACAAAACACTCTAACTAAATCAAAAATCTTTTTGGCCTCTGTGGATGAACTCTCTTCCCTTTAGTCAGGAAAAGCAATATGGTCAGAGAAGCATTGCTATGGAAACCTTAACTTTTGCATTTCCTGGCCTATGCTTTACCCAAGTAACTTTAATGCTGCATTCACATGGCTTTGCTTTTTACTTGATAAGCTCAGTGTTTCAGTCTGCAAAAGTTCACAACTAGCTTCAGGGAAACCTAGTGATCATTGATAACATGTTGCTCAGATGTACAAAGCACTCTATGAGGTGACGATTGCTGTATGGGTTCATTGAAGACCACCATTCTCACTCCATTAATAACCTAAACCCAGTGGTCCCCAACCTTTTTAACCACAAGATCACTTTTTCAATTTAAGTGCAATGTAAGATCTACCTCAAACCCAAATACCTTTGCCCCACTTCTTTCCTGCCCCTTCTTTGAGGCCCTGCCCCTGCTCAACCCCTTCTCCGAGGCCTCACTCTGCTCAGTCCATCTCCCTTCCTCCCCCATCCTCACTCACTTTCACCAGTTTGGGGTAGCGGGTTGGGGTGCAACCTCTGGTCTTGGTCCAAGGGGTTCAGCATGTGGAAGGGGCTCCGGGCTTAGTCTAAGGTGGGGGATTGGGGTTCAAGAGGGGTTTCAGGGTGCAAGCTCTAGGAAGGAGTTTGGGTGCAGGAGGAGGTTCAGGGCTGGGACAGAGGTTCAGGAAGCAGGGTCTGGCTGGGCATGTATAGCTGAGATGGCTTCCAGGTGATGGAGCAGTGGGGTTAAGGAAGGCTTTCTCCTGCCCTGACCCTGAACCACTCCTGAAAGCAGCTGGCTTGTACAGCATTGGTTCCATGGCACCAAATGCTGCCCCTCAACTACAGGCACTGAGCCCACAGCTTCTACTAGCCACAGTTGCCCATTACTGATCAATGGGAGCTGCAGGAGTGGTGTCTGCAGGCAAGGACAGCATGTGGAGACCCCCTGCTCTGTCTCTCTCAGGGGCTGCAGGGACATGCCAGCCACTTCCAGGAGCAACAGTTACCATAGGGATAATTACTCCAGCCACAACAGGTTAGGCATTTTAGAACTCACTACTCAAAGAATTAAATTTAAGCACAAGAGATAAATGAAAATTATGAAATAGACAGACCAGTCAAAAACCAAAAATAACCCACTTTGCGAGCAATGAAAGAAGTAACAACAACCCGTGTGTGTGTGTGTGTGTGAGAGAGAGAGAGAGAGAATGACAGACACACACACACACTGTGTGAGAGTGACAGCGATTTGCATTGCCAAGTCCCCTTCATTCTCTGTGAAGATGGGGTATAGGAGTGGGAGGAGGAGGGACACCCTGACATCAGCACCCCCTTTCTCTCTCCCACACCCTGAATAACAAGCAGGAGGCTCCCAGGAGGGCAGTTCCAAGGAAGAAGGGAGGGGCAACTGAAGTGCCAGCGCTTGATAGCTTCCTGGCCAAACCAGTTGATCACCTGTCAGAGGCTCCAAGATTTACCAGTAGATCCTGATCTACTGGTTGGTGACCACGGACCTAAACCCGTCTTTCCAAGCTGAAGAGCTGTTGTGTTGGTCTCCCCTCACCCTTTTGCTGCAGTGATTTGAAGACCCATGTGCCTTTGCGTGACAGCCTTTGCTACTGGATCGATACCTCTTCTTTCATTTTGGTATCTGAGCCATTAGATCATACTTCAGAAATTTCCTCAGATGTCCCTGCATTTACCTTTGCTCTCTGCGGGTCGTGTTATAGTTGGCTTCTGCAGCGATGGGGATTATTTTTGCAGTCCACATATCCTCCTTCCACAGGCTGTAAATCACATAACTGATAAAAAGCCGTTTAATTCAATTAATCTTCCAGCTGGAACACATTTAGAAGAATGTTTTCTCTCTAAGGAGCCAGTCACTTCCAACCATGCTGTCACTCACTCTTTGTATGTCATGACTTGTGTTTGCTGGACAAATATTATGCTTTGAGGGCTGCTGTGGTGGAGATATGATAGGCCCCTTATGGGAAGTGAAGGGGATTAAACCTAAAAGGTGAGTTGCCCTGTGGGGCCTCAGTATGTTTTTTCCTCTAGGACCTGTGATAAGGCTCCCAACCCAGCTGACAAGAGCAGAGAAGGCCAAGGACAGCTTTGTATTGGCTTGTAGCCCTGAATCCCTGTCTTTAAAAACAAACCCGAGTTTGTTGTCACGCATTGTCCAGGGCTGGCTTTTCCTTTTCAGTGTTAGTGGAGAAAACCAGAGAGAGGGGAAGGCTTTGGATGGTGCCAGGAAAAGGGAGGCCAGCAAAGGCTGGTTTAATAGGGAACTAATGGGGACTCTGCTGTGGAGGGCCAGTTCCACTTTAGCCAAATGTTTAACTTTTCTCCCTCTCTCTGTCCGAAGCTCTGTGTGCTTCTCTTTGTAAGCAGGTAGCAAAGCACACAAAATGGGGACAAACATGGCAGAATTTCCAACGGGAGTCCAAGTACCTACTGAAATTCTAGAGAAGATGGGTGGGCAAAAGGGCCTCTATGGGCTGCATCTGGCCGCCAAGTGGGTTGATCTGGCCTGCAGAGACCCTGTTGCTCCCCAGGCCAATTACGGTCTGGGGGCGGGGGAGCGCACGAAACTTCCTCCCGCCCTGGCAGGACCACACAGCACTTTAAAGCGCCACGTACTCCTTGCAGAGCAGGAGACGCCACGTGCTCCCTCACACCCACGCCCTGATTGGCCTGGGGATGGAAGGAGTGCGGGAAGTTTCCTCTGCCCTCCCCCCAGACCACTCATGGTCTGTGGGTGGGGTAGCCCAGAAGCATCCTGGCCCCACCCTTTCCAGTTTAGGCCCCACCCCTTCCGGGGCCCACCCCGTCTTAGGCTGTTTTTGAAATCCCAGCCATGGCTGCCCAGTCACAGTGTAGCCTTTTACCTCATGCTCTTACTTCTTTGCTCATTTCCTGTCTTGCCTGAGAAAGCTTTTCCAAAACAGAGAGGGACACAAATCCTCCTTCTTCAGTGCATTAAACCAACCACTAACAAACAAGGGTTAGGAGGGATCTTTCCCTTGGGCCTGCGGCAGGTTATTCCATTATTGCCATGTTCAGAGCATCTTCTGAAGCAGCTGGCACTGGAGGTACTGGGGACTGGTAATCTCTATGCTCCTAAAGGAAACAGCTTATCCCAGAGCAAAGTACCCTATAACT